GTTGCAGAATTGATTAAGGAGAAGAAGCCTCCGACAGGTGTGGATCTGTACTCGCGCTTTGCTTTGGCAGGTGCTTTGTGCTGGTACGTAAGATAAGCGCTGACTCTCCAGCTCCATCACCCACGGTGCCATGACCCCCGTTGATGTCGTCAAGACTCGTATCCAGTTGGATCCGTTCAAGTACTCTTCTGGTGTGCTTGGCTCTTTCCGTCAGATCATCTCTCAGGAAGGTGCTGGTGCCTTGTTGACGGGTGCTGGTCCTACGTTCGCTGGCTACTTCTTGCAAGGTGGCTTCAAGTTCGGTGGCTACGAGCTGTTCAAGAAGATGATCGTTGAGAACATTGGTATGGAAACTGCTCAGCAGAACCGCATGTCGGTCTACCTTGCCGCCTCCGCCTTGGCTGAGTTCTTTGCAGACATTGCCCTTTGCCCATTGGAAGCTACGCGTATCCGTCTTGTGTCGCAACCTGACTTTGCCAACGGATTGATCGGTGGATTTGCCCGTATCCGTCGCGAGGAGGGTGTCGGTGCATTCTACGCCGGTTTCGGTCCTATCTTGTTCAAGCAAGTGCCTTACAACATGGCCAAGTTCTCTACTATGGAAATTGTTTTGGAGGCTGCATTGCGTGCCTCTGGTAAGACTAAGCACGACCTCACCTCTGGTGAAGCTACCATCTACAACCTTGGTTCTGGTCTTGTTGCTGGTTTCGCTGCTGCGATCATTTCTCAGCCGGCCGACACTTTGCTTTCGAAGATCAACAAGAACAAGGCTCTGCCTGGCGAAACCACCGGTGGCCGTCTCGTGAAGTACTCGCGCGAGTTGGGTGTCGCTGGTCTCTTCACCGGTCTCACCACCCGTCTGATCATGGTTGGTACTATCACCGCCCTTCAATTCGGTATCTACGGTGAGATCAAGGCTGCTCTCGGCGCTACCAACTCTACGGAGATTTCCAAAGCACAGTAATTGCATAGGGCCCGTAGATAAAATCGATGCGATTTGATCACGATCTCCAACGTTTCTGAGACTAGAATTAGCTCGAAAATATCGTAGATTAGGAGGCTGATGTAAGCAGATTACTCCGATACGTGCAGCGTGGCGTCTTGGTGGCGCGCTGACGATACCCTACCATGTGGAGCAACTGCTCCGTGGAGTTCAAGGTGGTATTGATAGCTTCCGCGGAGGTCAAAATGCATTAAAGAGTCGTGCGACACCAGCGGGAACTTTTATCACACTTCATTCACAATGTCTAATCAGGTAGATCTGGGAACTGTATTCAAAGGCAGCAGCAGCGGAAAGGTCGTCAAAGCCAAAGGAACAACTCTCGAACTCAAGCCATCCGATGTTGCAATCGATATTGCCTGGTCTGGATTATGCGGGACTGAATTGCATTTGACAAAAAACGACATGGTCTTGGGCCATGAGGGTGTTGGTATCGTTTCGAAAGTCGGGAAGGATGTTACTCAATTCAAAGTCGGTGACCGTGTCGGCTGGGGCTGCAACCACGACTCATGCGGTCATTGTGAAGAATGCTGGAAGGGTATCGACACTCTCTGTGAGGAAAGGAAGATTTACACCCTTAGCGACTTCCACTTTGGTAGTTTTGGCGACCGAGCTGTATTGAATGCAGACTTTGTCCACAAAATACCTGATAGCCTTCCATTGAAGTATGCAGCACCTCTGCAATGTGGTGGTGCGACTGTGTTTGGTGGTATCAAGCGAGCCAATATTCAATCGGTGGACCGCGTTGGTGTAGTGGGTCTCGGCGGACTTGGTCATTTGGCAATTCAGTTCCTTCACAAAATGGGATGTGAGGTGGTTGTGTTCAGCGGCTCCAATCGCAAGAAAGATGAAGCTTTCAAGCTTGGTGCGGATGAATTCGTGGCTGTGAAAGAAAACCCGAACTTAGAAGGTGTGAAGAGGGTCAAGCACCTCCTCACTACCACAAGCGAGCAACCGGACTGGAATCAACTCTTCAAGGTGCTGGGTCCCCGCTCACAAATTGTTCCTCTTGGTGTGTCTATGAGTGATATGACATATCCCTACAACGATCTTCTGTTGAAGGAGTTGAGCATTGTCGGAAGCATCGTAGCTCCTCGTCAAGTGCACCAAGAAATGCTTAACTTTGCAGCCCGATGGAATGTTCTCCCCTGGATTGAAGAAATGCCCATGACAGAAGAGAATATTAACAAAGGTTTGGAGCGCCTCGAAAAGGGTGATATTCATTACCGATTTGTTTTCAAGTCTCAAACGACCGATGCGGAATAGACGTAGATCAATAGCAGACAATTAAAAATTATGCAGGGTCTCGCTTTCGCGCACGGACCACACTGAGCAGAGGTTCTAATGTGATAAGTATCCTGCCGTTTTGCATACGGTACTTCAAAGTCGATAGACCATCGAGACCGCAGCCAGCGCTAAAGCAAGTTAAATCTCCGATTCGATATACGAATAAGAGGATGGAATGAACTGCTGGTTCGTAGTTACGGCACCCATTGATCATTTGGATTGAGACCAATTTGCCAAGCGATTTCTGCGCCAATTCTCATCTGGAGTAACAATATCGTGGTTTAAAAGCGGTAGCGCCCAACAGAAACTTTTGCGGAGGCGACACACGTGAAACACAATCTTCGTAGGCAATGAATAGAATCCTGTCGTGCGACAACGACGATGTGCCTTCTTATATAATGACAGCCCTAGCAGCGAAACGACCAAAGTTACAGGTATCGACTACTATGAAGCTGAAAAGCATGGATGCTGCTATCGACATTTGCTTACTCTGACATGCACAGGCAAGACAACAGTTAAATGGGGTTGGTCACGAAGTTGTTGGATTGATCTCGCAAGTTGGAAGTGATGACCCACCCCAAAGTCGGAGATCGTATGGCTTGCGTTTGTGCATATGATCCATGTGCTCGACAAATTTAGCTCCCTACATAGTATATACTTGTCCAATGCCGTCTCCTTAACCGCACTAGTATGACGCGCGACTATCGAAACTATTGTGTACACGCATTGAAATTTAGACTCTTAATAAACAGTCAAGCTCTGTGTGCAGACACATAAGCATATGTAAAGCTAATGGAATGACATCATTTCGATTATCCCGAATAGCCAATGAGTGCTAGGGCTTTTTATCGCTAGAATCTTGGTCTGTGGTAGGAAGAAAGTCAGGGGCTGTTTGCTGATACTCATTAAATCATGGTTAACGCACCTCACGGCGGTACATTGAAAGATCTGCTCGCGCGCGATGCGCCGATCGCTGACAAGCTGCGTGAGGAGGCTAACTCGCTCCCGGAAATCATCCTAACGGAGGTACGTTGGGAACTTACTGACTGGTAGCGACAATTGTGTGACTTGGAGTTGATTATCACGGGAGGATTCTCGCCTTTGGAAGGATTCATGGGCAAGGCCGACTACGAGAATGTACTCACCAACATGCGTTTGGCCGATGGTGCATTGTTTCCAATTCCCGTCACTTTGGACGTTACCAGTGAACAAGCGAAGCAGCTAGGTCTGCAAAGTGGTTCACGAGTCGCTCTGCGGGACCCTCGCGATGACAACACGATCGCAATCTTGACAGTTTCAGACTTGTTCAACATCGACCGATCGCGTGAAGCTGAGCTTGTGCTTGGTGCTGACGACAAGGCACACCCATCGGTGAAATACTTGTACGACAGCGTCAAGGATGTGTTAGTCGGTGGATCAGTACAAGCTGTTGCAAAGCCACAGTACTACGACTATGTAGAACTGCGCTTCACTCCCGCTGAATTGCGTCATCACTTTGAGAAAGTAAGCTGGCGTAAAGTGGTCGCTTTCCAAACACGTAACCCGATGCACCGTGCACACCGTGAACTTACGGTGCGTGCGGCCCGCCAGCTGCAGGCGAACGTGCTAATTCATCCTGTAGTGGGTATGACCAAGCCTGGAGACGTGGATCATTACACTCGTGTACGTGTGTACTCTAGTTTGATGCCTCGTTACCCCAAGGGTATGGCGACTCTGGCATTGCTTCCCCTTGCAATGCGTATGGCTGGTCCCCGTGAAGCTTTGTGGCATGCTATCATCCGTAAGAATTTCGGCGTGTCCCACTTCATCGTCGGCCGTGACCACGCTGGCCCTGGAAGTAACAGTCAGGGCGAAGACTTCTATGGCCCGTATGATGCGCAGGATCTCGTCCGTAAACACACCGATGAACTCGGTATCGAGATGGTTCCTTTCCAAATGATGACCTATCTGCCGGATTCTGATGAGTACCAACCAGTGGACGAAGTCGCTCCTGGTACCAAAACCGCGAACATCAGTGGCACGGAACTCCGTAAGCGGCTCAAGACCGGTGCGCCGATCCCTGACTGGTTCAGCTACGAGAGCGTCGTAAGCACGCTGCGTGAAAGCTACCCGCCAAAGACTCAGCAAGGGTTCACCATCTTCCTTACTGGATTGTACAATTCGGGTAAGGATCAGATCGCGCGTGCACTGCAAGTAAAACTTTACGAGCAGGGAGGACGAAGCGTGTCGTTGCTTTTGGGTGAGACTGTTCGCTCTGAGCTCTCTGCCGAGCTTGGTTTCGCTCCAGAGGACCGTCACAAGAACATTCAGCGCATCGCATTTGTCGCTGCTGAGTTGACCCGTGCAGGTGCAGCAGTGATTGCAGCTCCAATTGCTCCTTATGAGGAATCGCGTAAAGCAGCAAAGGATATGATCACGAAAAACGGTGGCTCAGGAAACTTTTTCTTGGTCCATGTCGCTACTCCTTTGGACTACTGTGAGAAGACCGACCGCCGTGGAAATTACCAAAAGGCGCGTCGCGGCGAAATTAAAGGCTTTACGGGCGTCGACGACAAGTATGAGGACCCAACCCACGCCGACTTGACTGTTGATGTATCGAAACAGAGCATCGCTGAAATCACGCACTCCATCGTTCTTTTACTCGAAGCGAGTGGACTGATCTAAATTGTCCGTACATTCATAGTACCAACGACGGATAGGGGTTCAGGATCTTGGCAACTTGCCAGAGTGGTTAATGGGTGAGACTTGAACCAACCGGGCAATCTCATGGGCTCCGCCCACACAGGTTCGAACCCTGTAGTTGTCGAATTTTTGCTCTTTTTCGAATCGTGTGCCATTTTAATAGCCTATATCCATAGCTACGGATTCCTGGTGATCAGAACCTATGGGATGATGGGGGGTATTATTGCCCTCAATACGAGCAAGCTGCGGTGCCTGACCGACACTTGGGTCGGTGTCAGGAGTCTCGACATTGCCGATGAAAGGCGAAATACTCGGTAAGGACGTGGTAGAAGGAATCGGCAAGGAATCTGCCGGCGTTGGAGACGCAGAAGTTGCCGCTGGCTGATCAGATTCAGGACTGGCATCCTGCTTGTTTTTTCCGGCATCGGAATCTCGTTCGTGATCTTTGCCAAGCTCATTACGTTGCTGCATCGCGACCGATAATGGTACCGGCATAGGCACAACATCCCGCAGGAAATCGAAATATTCGTTTTGCAAAGTAGCTTTTGCTGAATTAATCGTGACACGTACCCATATCATCGTAGCGCACCATTTTGCGCTTATCCATACGCGCATTGACACATGCATCTTCAACAAATCTTTTAACGAACAATTCCTGGATCAGTATCGTACGACGAACCGTTGCGGCGCTAATTAAAAACGTAGCTTCTTTGCTGCAAATATCAACAGCACTATCCGCCTTGATGATCTTGGAGATTCGTGCTACAGGAAACACTGTAGTACCCTTTTGTGCGGGAAGACTAGGGCGCGGCGCTCGTTTCGGCGCAGGCCGTGCTTCTTTTGAGACTCCTTCTTGTATTGAGGTGGTTTCATTGTGTTCTTCTTCTTGCATAGCTTCTGATTCAGGTGCTGCATCCAGCGGCGTGGATTCAATAGGTCTTGATTCTTGACCTAAGTCAAGAGGTGCAACATTTCCATTCAACTCAGCAGGCGTGGCACTCGGGCTCGTTTCCTGTGCAATTGGCGGTACAGCCCCTTGGATAATTTCCGAAACTCTCGCTTCTGTACCAGGCACAGGTTCCGCTAGCGGTGCACGGTCCTGTGCTTCCCAATTGAACCCTGCCTCCATCGTTGTAAAGCGCGTCTTTCAACGCGTAGAAAGTGTCGCGTGGCGCGCGAATATGGAGAGTGCCTCCACCTCAAGGAAATGGACGCAGAGGCTGGGGAAAGTGGGCATGCTGTGCCTTGGGAGGTAAGCGGTACAAGCTCATAGCCTCAGAATTACACACATAAAGATGTGGTCCTATTTGCCATAGACTGTGGTCCCTCGATGCACGATGCAAAAGAGGATGAACAGTGCGCGCTACTCATTGCATTGCGCGCAGTGACGCGGTTCATGGAGACAAAGCTAGTCAGTTCACCTAAGGATCATGTAGGTGTGCTACTATGGAATACGGTACGTGATAATCTGATTCAAGGCAGAGTCTCGTATGATAACAGAGACACGCAGCGGATTCCGGCCGCATACTATGGAATTGATCAAGACACAGCAAGTAAATGTGCCAAAGACATACGAAATGCAACAGCTAGTTCGAGGTTTGTGAGCCATCCTGATGACAGCCATACAATATGACAGCCAAGTACTCCAGCAGCGATTCTCTGCATCAGCAGAACAGATTCCCATCGAGCATGTCTTGGCCAATGCGCTGCATCTACTCAGCTCAACGTACGCCTGCCATTAACCCAGAACCAAAGCCGGCACGAAACGCATTTTCTACATCACGAATCAGGATGATCCACAGCCAGGACCTGGGAAACAGCTTGCACAGAAAGCATGTTTGGATCGCATGAAAGATTTCCATCGACGTGGCATCGACATGGAACCTTTTTTCATGTCTAGTAAACTTCATACTTTCCGTGTAAATACTTTCTATGCAGAGATCGTCGGATCATACGATGACGGTATAACGGACGATGCACTGCGCCCTTGGCGTTTGCGTCAAATGCAAGACCAAAACGGTGGGAAACGGCACGCGTGGGACTCAACCTTTAAGTTGCAGGAGCTTGATGAGCAGATTAGCGGTCGAGAGATGCCGAAGCGAGTGATTTTTGATCTGCTTATGGATTTGGGCGCATTGTCTAAACCTAATGACGCACAGCATGCAAAGTCACAACGTGCATCACATTGGCGTATCCATGTCAAAGGCTACGCCTTGATCACTGAAGCCACGAAGGACATGCCCGTGCGTGTCTCATCGTATGGCCAAGAAAATCCCTCAGATATATACGAAGTAATGGCCTACCAGCATATGTATGACACAAAGACTATGCAACGTATTCCAGCTCCAGAGGTAACCAATGCTTACACCATATGTGAGGCTCCTAATGGACCAGCCCAAGTAGTTTTGTCCGACGAGGAAGTGAAGCGATTACGTACATTTGGGTGTATCCCTGGGATCAAGCTTCTTGGTTTCAAGCAGCAGTCGACGTTACATTTTGTCGACAATATCAAGCATGCATATTTTTTGTATCCCTCAGACATGGAGCAACCAGGTAGTAAGCGCACCTTTGCAGCGCTACTCAACTCGATGCTTTCAAAGAAAGTGTATGCATTAGCGCTCTTTATGCCTCGTGAGAATGTCATTCCTGCATTTGTTGCGATACTGCCACAAGCTGAAGAAGTGGACGCGGATGGCAATCAGCTTGTACCGCCTGGGATGAATATGGTGATTTTGCCGTACACTGACGATCTTCGAGACCCACCCACGACCCAGGCTCAGCACGGTATGTGGAACATCCTGACGTTACAGCCAACGACGACCAGATCTCAAAGGCAGGTCAGATCATCGATCAGTATTTGCGGAAAGCACCGTTCAACCCTGATGCATTTACGAACCCAGCTTTGCAACACCATTACCAGACATTGATGGCAGTAGCATTCAACCAAGAAAAACCCGCCTATCAGGATACCATTTTGCCAGACTATGCTTTGATTGACCAGGTACGCTCGCCGATAGACACACTAATGTAGCGTGCTGGCTCACAGATACAGACATGGAACGATTCCATCGATGCTGATCCTCGCACACGCCCAGTATCTCCACCCACAAAACGCACAAGCCAAGCGGTGCCAACGGAATGGAGCACCGAACGCGAACAAGAGATCCTATCCATGCATCAGCAAGGGTTGTTGGGACGGTATTTGGTTGCTGAGCTCCGTGATGTATGTGCTCACTATGAATTGCCAACGACAGGACGCAAGGCAGATCTTGTCAACAGGCTGCAGACCTTTCTATCTACAAGCTAATTACATCTTTGAACCGGGGAAAAGACTCTTAAACGACTTTGTATCCAGCACGGAATCAGGATACGGCAAGAAGGGACCGCGGAAATGAACGGAGCCGCCATCCACAACTAAGATTTGGCCAGTAATCCAGCTAGCTGCCTCACTGAAAAGGTACACAGCAGCGTTGGCAATGTCATCCTTCTGTCCAATGCGCTGCATCGGCATAAATCCTAGCACCATTTCGTCTTGGCCCTGCGGCACAAGACGGTCTGCTCCCTCGGTACCTGCTATCAGGCCGGGAGCAATGCAGTTGCTTCGTACGCCATATGGACCCAATTCCACGGCCAGGGCAGCAGATAGGGCATCGACACCGGCTTTTGCAGCAGACGGCGCTGCTTGCCAGGGAAGTCCTGAATAATGCAACGTCGCAGAGATATGGAGGTAGTTTCCGTGGCTCTTCTTGACCTCTTCCATGGTAGCACGTACAGTGTTGAATGTGCCCAGCAAATCGATCTCTACAACTGTGCGGAATGCATTCGGGGACAATCCCTCGATAGGAGCCATGAAATTCCCAGCTGCACCGCAAATCACGAAATCAATCTTGCCGAATTGCTCGATGGTCTGCTTCACGGCATGTTGCAGAGTCTCGATCTTACGTACGTCTGCAGGCGTCGCGATAGCTTGTGACTGTGTGGCTTTGCTAAGACTGTCTGCTGCACCGCGTAGACGTTCAGCATTGCGTCCGACAATGGCCGCTTTCGCACCAAGTCGCATCAAGGTTTCGGTCACCGCATAGCAAATTCCTGATCCACCACCAGTGACAAATACTACTTTGTCTTTAAAGATGTCCGGCTTGAACACATCCAGCGCAGGCACCGCTCGGTGTTTGTACGACTCCGCCATTGCGTTTGGATCAAGAATCTGGGGTAATCCTCGGTCAACTATTTAGCCCAAGACCGGTGTGGAGGTTCGCATGCTAAGTCCGCGCACCGCGTAGCGCGAGTGATCAAGCCTTACGTCCACGTGGTAAGCACCAGTCCTAGTTTGTCACGTGTGTATTCTCTCAGTCTAGGTCCGTAAGCTTCTCTGCATTGATTGCTTCTCATAACCTACATTGGAGTCGTGAGGTCATGGTAGGTAGCTAAACATGGAATCGCTCGATGCTAACAACGCAGCCGTCGCACAAGTCTCTCCGCACAAAGTTGAAGCTCGCTAAGGCGCAGCGCCAGAACCGGTAGGTGTTACTATGCTGATGATCAGTCCTATCCCCAACTGGTTCCGTATGAAGACGGACAACAAGATCCAGTACAACAAGAACCGTCGCCACTGGCGCCGCACTAAGCTGAACATCTAAGCTTTGGGCTCTTTTTGGGTTTCCACCATGGCGTAATGTACTTGTTCCATAAAACGAATGCAGTCGATTGTGCTTTCGCACTGACTTTTCACTCATGTTGATTGTTTTGTGTTTTGTTTCTACTAGGCTGTCTAACCTATGATTCTGCATCAGCGTAAGCTAGCTGTGTGAGACCGGCAAACGTAGGTCAGTATGCAGCGTGGACAGAATCCGTGCATAATATGCTTCAGTCTCTGGTGTGATGTACCCATGTCTGATCAGGAAATCCACCAAGACTATTGTCAGTTTCTTTGTGTAAGCGTACCTAAAGCGCAGTTTGGCTTGAATTCGTTCTTGTGCATTTTGTCGATGACTGTGGAAACACTAAGCAACTCAAACGATTCGGCTTCGCCGTCTTCCGGATGCAGCACAATCTCGTCAGAAGGTAGAGCTAGATCATACGTGTATTGCATTTCTGGCTGGCGCCATCCTTGTGAAGTTCGAT